ATTTATTTAGATGAACATGTAAACTAGGAATATATACTCACCCGAGGTGACACAAACCTGAAGATGCCAAAGAAGACTGCTATTTTTCTGCCAGTTTGAGGAAGAAATATATATATTTAGTTTGCTTTATCTCCTCATGATGGCTGAGTTTTGGGAGCAAAACATTGATACTCCCTGTCAAGTTATAAAGTGATAAATACAGCTCTTAAAGCAGGACAGCAGGCTCAGAAGCTTAGGAAGTCTAGGAGAAGACACCAGTGGCAAAGCAGGGCAAGAGGAGAGGAGTGAGAGGTGTGTGGACAGTTGGCACCCACCACAGGGCAAGCACAGACGTCTAGGCACAGCACTCGTCTTCAGGCAGGTGTGCCTCTGCTGCAGTAGGGACCCACGTCTGCCACAAGGTACGATACTCCGAAGAAGCCCGTAATCGCGTATCTGCATGTAAATTAATATCCTCTCAGACAAGATAAGTGGGTATAATCCAATCCACTTTTTGGGTGTCTGTGAGATCTATTTCAGAGGACTGTAGCGGGTGGGGAGTTGGCAATGCTGGACTCCGAAGGCGAGTGACACAAGGACGGAGGTCCCTGTGATCTGGAGGCTGCCTAAAAGCTAACTTGCAATTTTATTAACAAGCTGGAGGAGGCTAATACCTATTTTATAGGTTCAAGGGGTCTAACATGCTAGAGTCATATGGCAGAGACAGCTGTCCACAGATACATTTCTGTCCTTACGTGGAGCACTCTGTTTTGAAAAGGAACCACGCAGCTGTAACTACACTACTAATAGAGGTGTCCTTATGTTGGGATTGCTTCTCCATCTGCTCTTTGTGACCTGCGTGCACATTACAGTGAAGGTGACCAAAATACAAAATGGAAGAAGGCTGGATCAGAATTAACACATGGAGGAAAGCCAGGTGTCCACGGGGAGCATTTGCTTACATTCATTCAAGTACTAAATTAACTTCACTTTTTTATGCCATCCAGGCTGGCTTTCTTTCTTTCTTTCTTTCTTTCTTTCTTTCTTTCTTTCTTTCTTTCTTTCTTTCTCTCTTTCTTTCTTTCTTTCTCTCTTTCTTTCTTTCTTTCTTTCTTTCTTTCTTTCTTTCTTTCTTTCTTTCTTTCTTTCTTTCTCATATTGGGGATCGAACTCAGGTTCTTGAGCTTGCAACGCAGGTGGTGGAACCACTGAACAGATGTTTGAGTTTCTTTTTTTTTGTTTTCGTACTGGGGATTGCACTTGGGGCCTTGGGCTTAGGAGGCAGGCAGCGACACCACTGAGATAAATCTCCAGCCCCTAAATTATATATTTATATTTTTTAGTTCAGCAAGATCTTTTTGCCCTTTTTTTTTTCCATACCAGGGATTGAACTTGGGTCCTTGTACTTGCGAGGCAAATGGCAGAACCACTGAGCCAAATTCCTGGCCAAGGCAGACATTAATTTGTTAACATAACTTGGCCAAACTCAACAACACAATCCTAAACTCATGGCAGGGGCTATGAGAATATAAGCTCATTTCTCTTTAATTATATTCATAATTATGTGCCACTATCTTTCCTTTTATATGTAAGAATGTACGCTTTCATGTCAGTTGTACATATACCAATAAATTGTACAGAACTCTGATGAGGAGGAATAACACTCTGCCTGTGCTGTTATTTTCTCACCATAGTTTTGAAAAGTAGGTTTTATCACTTGCATCGCAGAGATGGAGAATCAGCAACTTTGAGAAGTAAGGTTATGCGTTCAGTATGACTTAACTAGTAAGGGTACCACTAGTTTGTGAACTATTTCTCATTTCCAGACCTGAGCTCTTTCCTGAAAACCTTACTGACTGTCCCAGCACTGGGAATGACTGGAGTGTAATTGGAAAACTACTTCACAAGGCCCTGAGTACTGGGCTAGAAGTGTTTAGGCCTTCCTCCTTTGAAATCAAGAAATACAGTATAGAAAGCTTCAGGAAACTTTTTAATAACTTAGGATGATTTGTGTGACTTCCAACTGGCACTTAAAAAGTACTTTTGCTTATCTAAATTGGATAAAGGATACGATTTTCCAAAGAAACTTCACACTGAATTATTCTATGACAATAATATCAGACTAGACTTGCTCAGTTGCATTTGAAATAAGTTAAAGAAAAGTACTTTTCAAAGTGCAAAAGACAGTATGGTCTATTCTCAAATTGATCTTTGCTGTCTTAGGGCCTCCACACACAACAGGCACCCAATTTTGACTGGGAAGGAAGAAAGGAAGAGGCAAAAGAATGTAGAGGAAGGAAGAAGCGGAGGCAGGAAGTCAGGGGAGGGAGAAAAGGAGGAGAAGATAAGGGTGCAGCGGTCAGAAAGAGACTAGGGAAGAGGGGCGAGGAAAGGAAAGTAGAAGGGGAGAAGAATAAGGACAGACCGTATTACTAATTTGAAGTTTTGTCCTATTTTTTCTTTCCTTTCCTTCTCTTTCCCTTTCTTTCTCCCTTCCTCCCTCCCTCCCTTCCTTCCTACCTCCCTCCCTTCCTTCCTAGAAGTGTAGTTCAAATCTAGGGCCTGCACAGAGTGAAAACCATAGTCTATCACCGAGGTGCACAAACAACCCCACTGTGTCCTATTTAAACTGAAATTCCAGTGATTGTAGTAGCTGGAGATATAAACTCCTAGTATCATTTTCTAATCGACAGTACCCTGTGATAACTGGTCTGAGCTCTCTCTTGGAAGAAGAAAAATCTGAGCTCGAGAAGATAAACAAACTTTGCGGGGCTCTCACCTAGCTAGTTGTAGAACCCAGACTAGAAGTGAGTTCTCTTGACTCCAATTGTACGACCTTATAAAACGTTTTAATGTACAATGGTTGTGATAATGAAGCATTAGGGCTCCTTGACAGATAAATTTGCAGAAATTAGTGCTCACAGGTATGTATGCAGATTCATGTGATCCACTGATTTACAATGACAAATCTTCCAAAATTTCACAGGTAAGTTAAGTCCCAACACACACTGAGTTTTGGCGAACTCAAAGCCAGGGCACAAAGAGAAGAAAACAAAAGGACAGAGGGAGAGGTGAAACTATTGCGGCAATCTCCCGAGTCACTCTACTCAGATGTGTGGCCTGAGGCTGACATGGGGAGCCTCAGATCTGCTGTTCTTCCTATGATAGTAAGTTCTGTGTTTTCCACGGAGTGAGCATCTCACTGTGCTGAGTGTTTAGTGTTTAAAGATACATATTTTTCATATAACATTGCCCCTGAATGGGAGCCAACTCCCCACTTCATCTGGTACTCTGCTGAAGACAGAGCAATCTGTTCCAACACTGGATCTAATGTCGCCTGTACTGGAGACTTTGAGAGTTTGTATTACGATCTTCAATGCAGTGCCGTCAGAGGGGCGTTGAAGGGAGACTTCTCTATTTGTTGCTTTTGCCTTAGAAGCTGACTGTAGAACCCAGTCTCCTGCTGAGATGTGACATCCCTCTATTGATTTCTACGGTAAATTCAGTATCCAATATCCTTGCTTCTTTGTGTTAGCTTGATCAAGCATCACACACTTTAATCACAATAGAGACTTTGTAACCTTGACTCAAACTATGTTATCGAGAGAAAATATGTCAGCGTGATGGACAATTTTATAGATTTCTGTCACACAGCAGAATCAGTAACACAATACTGACATTTAAAAAATTGACAATACAGTATTTAAGATTCCTCTAATAATAAGACTAACAATGAACATCCTTCTAAGTACACAATGTATCATACACTTCAAAGAGCAGTGGATGAATGGCCCAATGTTCTGAGTTCAAATCCAAGCTGTGCCAGTAATAGCCGGGTAGTTCCTGGCATACTGATCATCATATCTGCGGCTTGATTTCACCACTTAAAAATGTTGAAGTAATAACGGTGTCAAAAGTTGCAGATTTTATACTGTTTCAATTTATTAAACATGGTTCTTGTGGAACAAGGACAAGAGAAAAAGTGCTCTAGAATCTATTTGCCTGCCTGTCACAAGGTAGATCAGAAGGCAAGGGCCAAACTGGAATACGATCTGGCTCATCCCCTAATTAGAGATGATGCCATCATCTTTGTCCTGTAGGGCCTTCTGATGGCTGTAGGTGCAGTGCCTACTGGATTCAATTTGGTTTTTTTTTAATACCCAGAATTCAAGGAATAAGGAATCCTTAAGGTCTGCTGCACTTTTCTCTAACTATGGTCTCTATCTAGTGAATTTTTGCCAATCAGTGAGTTCTTGTAGACCGGTTTTCATGCTGTTAATATCTCAGTGGGATGTTATCAAAGGCCCATAGCTTTAGAGATTCTGCCTATATCTCCCTGGTTTTTCTGAGAATCTGTGAGCAAGAAGAGTTGATATCTCTTTGAAGCCAGAGAAAAGACTGTGATCTTAAGTTTCTCTTTCTTCCTACCAACTAGCAATAATAATGAGAATCTACCCTAGCCAATCACAATATAACTCCATTAACATGATCAGCTTTTGAGCTAAGCCTTAAAAGCATCAACCAGGAAAGACTAAGATGAAAGCCAGTGAGTAGGGAAGATAAATAAAAGATACAAATAGCTGAAATATTAAATAGGGCAGGGTTTCACATGAATATATTGCTTACCTTTCCCCCACCACCTTTTTGGCCAAAAAGGCCACTGATCCCCAACTGAAAGAGGATGTATGATCCTAAAGGGAAAAGTACTGTAAATGTAACTCATTCTGAAGAAAGGATAAAGTCACAGGAGCTTGAAATTTAAGTGGCGTTTTCTTCCTTCCAGCGTCGAGCCACGGATGGGTCTTTTCCCGGCAGGGTGGAGTGTTGTTGAGGACCAGAGGAGAATTAAGTCCTAATTGGCCTCCTCTGTGAGCACAAAGGAGCAAGGCTGCACTCAGGTGCTACTGCAAGTTGCACTTAGGGAAAAGATAGCTGAGGTTAAGTTGTTTACCAGAAAAAGTGCATATAGATACTGGGAAGCAGATGAATCGCGTTACTTTGATTGCTTGCGCCTGTGTTGAGTGAGTAAAAGCAAGGAGAGCCAAAGGCTTTCCGCCTCTTCTGCCAGCTACAGGTAAGGTCCCTCTGGCTGACCGCGGGATAAGCTGACTCTGTGTCTCTTTGTCGTTCGTCCTCATTCACCGTGGGCGAGGAAGGAACCAAGTAGCAGCTCTAGGTCCTGAAGCAAAGCTGGCCAGCCCATCCGGCTGCAGGGCGGAGCCCCAGTTTATGGTGGGGGGCCCAGAGTCACCTATAGGTGACACCCAAACAGGAACACCAGACTAGGGTTGTCTAAAAGTGTGCTCCTTATAATCTTTTCTGCTCACCTGAGTGTGAGGACTTTGGGGCTCAGAGCAGGAAGTTCGTATATGTTTTCTCTTTATTAAACATTTTGAAAACCTGTGTTTCACCGCTCTCACCTTGACAGCCTTCTAATTTTTCAGTGTCCCACATGTACAGAAGGATAGAAGGACAGGAAGAGTTTATTAGGGTTTTCCTTTACGAATGTATCTATGCAACAGTAATTTTTAAGTGGGAAATCTCACGTGGGCAAGAGAGATGATTCCGGGGAGGCTGAGTAAACTACACAGAAGGATATCAAGGTAGACTCTGAACATGTGCGAGAAGAAATACAGGAATTCTGAGATGGCAAAGATGACGCTGGGCTGGGGGCTGTGTGAAAGTCCGCTGCCAGGATCATGTTAAGAAAAGATCTCCCAGAGGTAATCCTGTAGTTACGTTTGTAGTGCGGGAAGTTGGGACAGCTTTCTTACCTCTGTTAAAATCTTTTTCACCCAGCAGGGGGAGCAATGTTGCCTGACCAGAGTACCTCTGCTTTGGCCATTGGAGAATGAAAAGGGAAAGATGAGGTTTGGGGAGAATAATGTACTCTTTTGCTATATTTAAGACTCCTAATCCTTATAATAACTTACTTAATATACTATCACTGTTTGTTTTGGAAGACCATCACGTATCAAGTTCAAGGACCTTCTAGTGGTGAAGGAGAGGTATGGGGATTACTGGGTTACTGATAAATATTTAGTAGATTTAATGGAAAAGAAAACAAACAAAAAGAATCCTGAAATGCCCTGAAGATTCTGATAGTGCATTTTTTTTACCTGGTCTAAATGTAGCCTTTAATGAAAAAGATTGTGCTGACGTGTGCCAGGCATTTCGTTAAACAATTTTTTCATGGTTCATTTCACTCCTCTCTCAACATTACTTCCCATTGTGGACTGTTACTGGACCTATATTCAAAGATGTGGAAATTATGTACAATGAAGTTAAATGAATCTTCCAGTAAATGGTGGAATTAGCACAGAAACCCAGGCATACTTAGTTCATGGCCCACAGGCATTCTTACCGGTAGGAATTCTTACTGGGGCCAGTCATTATGCTAAGGAATTTAAAATTATATTATTTATATAGCTGTAAAGTATATAACATGTAAAAATACATGCATACTATAAATTTAAATTTAAGAAATCAAAACTGAGAAAGCAAATTTCTTTCCTAAGCCTATTTCAAAGGTATTCATTGGACCTAGTAACTGAAGGAATGCAGAAACAGGAATCTTTGGAGAGACAGATGTTGCAATTCTGGTTCAGGATATGCAGCTATGGCCAGCAAGAATGGGAGGCATATCCTGACAGCTCTTACAGGATCGTGGTTGGTGCTTGAATTTACAGAGAGACTTAACACGCTCTTTTTAACCACTTCCCCAGCCTTATGTTTTTTCCTCCATGGATCTTGAAACAAACTTCTTGTCTGTTTTCAGCTGAATGATTCCTTGGAGACATGCCTGGAAGTAGCAATCTAAGAAATCTCTTCTGAACCACCGGATGATTCCCATCCAGGAGCAGAGCTGCCTCTGGTGTGCAAGCCTGGCCAGGTATGATAGGCTGCAACTGTGCTCCTGTGGGTCGCAGAGGCAGATCTCTGGGAAGTGTATTAGAAAATGGAAATAAAAGTGGCCAATTATCCACATCACTTGGGGAATTTTTACAAAATACACGCGCAGAGAAATGAATTCAGTGCATTGTGTATAGAAAGGTGGTCCAAGGAGATGCCCATTAGAGGAAGGGAAAGACGGATCTGTTCAATATTTTCACACATTTTTGAACTTTGTCCAGAGAACATCAATACTGCCCTGTGTTGACTGTGTGCCTACTTGATTCTGTTTGTAAGAATTTCCTTTAACAGATGGCAGTAGTGCAGAGTTTAAAGAGGCTGAAATAAAATCTTTCGGTCTGGGCTGCTCTGAATCCAAAGCCCATGTTTTTAAACTCTCTCGTGTAAAAATGCTCAGAAAATCCATGTTATAGACAAGGCGCAATTTTAAGCCTTCCTTTCCACATCTGGAGCAGATTCATGATGCTGTTTCCACACTTACACAAGGGAAATCGAAGTGCAGGGGCAGCTACATTCATCGGGTTTGAAATTCTGTGGTGGAATTGTTTGTTTTCCTCATGGCAGCTGGAGTGAATCTTTTGTTCTCTGTCTCCATTACCTTTGGTCCAAGTGTGGGTGATGTTTGCCATAGAGCTTTCATAGAATAGCCCATGGGGTGACTGGACATTCCTTCTAAGTGCACTTCTGCTTGATTAAATAGCAGCACAATACAATTCTCAGAAATTACTATATAAGCTTTTGATAAATAATTTTCAGTGTAAACTAACCAAAATAGTTCTGTGGTCCTCAGAAGACTCTATAAGTTAGTCACCTCAGTTGGCAAATGGGGAAACCAAGGCTCCGCAATAATGTGACTAGCCCGTGGACTCCTGTCTCCTGCCATACTTAGCAGTATAGGATACTTGTTTGCTTAGTAAACATATTCTTTTTCCTCATAGAGTTCTTCTATGGATGAGATTCATCTACAAGAAACACAACCCGTTTGCATGGTTTTACCCCTGCTCATTATTGTCATACGGTGTTATTTCAGGAAATATATGGAATTACTTTTGACTAACTTTAAAGGACTAAGAATTCTTTCAAATAGCGCATACAGCAGCTTGCATGCTGCCTTAAAATGAAGGTTTTATGGGTGCCTAGCAGTTTTACTTACTGAGCAGCTTCTCTCCTCTTCTCGGTCGGAGTGTCCAGCTATCCACCAGGGACCTGTTATTCTGTGCTCCACATGATTCTGATAGGACCAAATCCAAAAGGTCCCCTCACAAGTGAGGCGGGCTGCCCAGTCAGATACCACTGAGGTTCAAGTAGAGGTGCACAGAAGATCAAAAAGACTTTGTTTTAGCTGTGTGTTCTGACTTTGAAAACAAAAGGTGTAATAAAGGATGGACAGAAGGAAACGGGGATGGATCTCTTGCAAATGGAAAAAGGTCTAAGAGAATGAGGGTGAGGGAAGAGAGGGAAGGGGGAACGTGAAATAAGTAAAACAAGTTCATGTCATACACGGGAACTTGGTAACCTCAATGAATGTAAACATTGTATGTCATAAGCATGAGCTAAGATTAATAATATCAGCAAGAATGAAAATAGGAAAAGGGAATGTAACGGAGGAGAAGGGGGGTGGGAGGGAAGGGGAAAGAGATTAAAAAAGGAAAAATTTTATTAGGTACACATATCCACTCCCCAAGATGGTCGTGAACTGCATGTTTGGCAAACACCTACTACTACTACTGCTACTATTACTACTACTACTACTACAAAAACAACAAAAAACATAACCATGAGATGGTCATGAACAGAGAGAGTTCCAGTTTATACTGGAATGAAGCTTGAAATGTTACGTGGCTATCTCGCGCAATTTGAAGCGAACCTAGCTGAAAGTAAAATTTAAAAAGAAAATACAGCTGATGACCGAGAGGGGCCAAATAGAGAAGAGATGGAGAGAGAGACAGAGATATGGACGGAGAGACCAATGGAAAAAGACAAAAGAGATACGAGGACGTACTTTAGGAATATATACAAACATGATACAGAAACAAGCACAGATGCACAGAATGACACGGAGACTGACACACACACACACACACATGTCCACAAGTACACGCATGCACACACATACAGCCCCATGTGCACTATGATCCTACGTGGAGAAAGTAGGAGAGACTGTGGTATTGATACCTAATGGCATCATTGGAATCCCTGGAACTGTTTCTGTTCACTAAAATCGGTGATTCTAAAAGACAACAAACTTCTCGTGTTTAAGCCCATCTGGGTTGGAGTTTTGAAGATATAATACTAAGAATCTTGTGGCCCTGGCTCTATTTTAAGTCACGCAACAAATTCTCTCTTTTCATCTCCAATTCCTTAGTTTTGGATGCATAAAGAGGTAGCAATGTTACCTCCTTTACATCCAGTATTTTAAGAGCTGATGATACGGCACAATGAATTTTTAAAATGATACACAGATCCACATCTATAATAGAATATCTATAGTGAAAAAATAGGAATTTGGTATAGTTATCTTTTTAATGCAGTAGTTTTCACAAGGCTGTGGAAAAGCTGATTCACATAGGCGAGCTTTCTGAGGTAACAGAAAGCAGCTATTAAAAGGTGTCAAACATTTGTGGAGCTGATGTATCTAATGGGAGAAAATTGCTTTGAACAGAGATGATGATTGCTTCTTTTAAAGACACCTGGGGGAAATGACCTAGAAAATTAGCATGATCACCTGCTGGAAAAGCACGTCTCCCTTCTCCATTTGCTTTCTGATGAAAAGAACATTGGGGAGGGTATAATCCTGATCTTTCTTTTTACTAATTTTGCGGAGTGAAATATTTGGCTAAAAAGAAAAAAAAATGTTTCTAAGACTTTATCCTCATGTCTCTCTGGCAGGAAAGTTTTCATTTCTGATTCGTTGGTTTCTTGATTTGTTTTCATTAGGAGCAATATTGCTGCAACAACCTTGAGTGATAAAGAAATTATAAATATAAGGGATGGTTAAGGACAATGGGTTGCCTTATAAAACCAAGCTGGGGAGAAACCATCTCAAAAGTATTGTAATATTCAACTTCATGTTGACTATAACTAAATATCGGAGGAAGCCAACTTGTAAGGAAAAGGTTTCCTTTCATTCGAGGGTCTAAAGATTCAAGTCCAACATTGAGTGCCTCCTTGTTTTGGGCCTCTGATATATTGGGATGGATACTCACAGCCCTAGTCAGGAGTCAGAGAGTAAGAGAAGACTGACTACGTCTCACAATCCCTTTCAAGGATATGTACCCAGTGAATTAAAGACTTTGTTCTTGATCCTACCACCCCCGGTATCCCTATCCTGGGAACCAAGATTTGTGTATGGATCTTTGGAGGATGATACGTATATTCAAACAATAGCAAGTATTAATGTAAAGAAAATAGCTAATAGGTGCTGAATGCAGGACAATGAAATTCATGTTTCATGTCCTTTATCTCCTGTTGTACTTACAGATGAGGAAACTGAGGTGACAGAATTTAGAGGAGAGGTTTCCAAACCTAGTTGTTCCTCAACATCCCTTGAGGTGGTAATTTTAAAGAGGGCTTCCTTGGCTTAATCCTGTGGGATTATGTTTCAGGAAAAGAAGTCTATATGGGTTACGTCTGATGATCAGAGGATTCTGATACGTGATTGGTGTTGGTTAAGGTTGTGCTTAGTATCAGCTGAGATTCTACTGCTAGTTGTTGGGACCAGTATTTAACCTAGGTATGGGTCCACATTCCACATACTTTTTGTCTCACCTTTTTTGGTGGTCATCCTTCAGGATAACTTGAAAGAAAACCACCTACTGCAGATAGCCTTTGTATTGTTATCTACACTGGAAACTTTTATCAAGAGGTATGAAGAGGTATGAAGTCACAAACACAGTCACAACACTATGTCTGTTGATTCTATACTTGTGGCCAATTGGAGGACAGTCATGTTTTCCTTGTAGTAAAGTTTTTGTCTACAATGTAACACAGGGCTAAATAAGTGCTTACTGCCCTATACCACGTTAGGCAAGTGACCCTGGACTAGTCCCCTACTTCATGGGGGAAATTAAGTGGGAAAAAATATATTCACTAGAGTGTGGAAAGGCATCTGTCCTTAATAAAAGGTTTGCAACTATGTGAAATTGGAAAAGAAATGAAGTATTCTGAAACTATTTTCATTACATTAACTTAAGAATAAAGGCAAAAGTGGTTTCAAAGATTAGCTTCCAAATCTGATGTGCATTGAAGGAGAATAAGTTGATTTTTTTTCTACCACCTCCAGCGTCCTTTACCTCTTTCAGCTTAAAATTTTGGAAATGAAATATTCACAGATGCTGGTAGTACTTTCCATTTTTCCTCTATGACAAGACATACATTTTCTGACCTGAAGATCTGCAAATTTACTGATCTGCTTTGCTTTCTTCTCTAACGCCAAGTACTTACTCCTTTAGGACAGACACCATATGAATATGGAATTCTGATGACTTTTGAAATTCAATTCAAGGCTTGTGGTATACATACTTTAAGGGAGTGCAATCAGGTTTGTCCAGTTGGCCTGTGTTATGGTGTGGAACATTATGCATTATGTCCTAGCAGTTTTGGGTTTCTGAAACTATAAAGACAGTTTAGAGAGAATGATGAAATTTCAAATAAAAAAAGAAAGTAATATTTGTACCCTTTCTCCAAAGAGTCTAGATTTTTCCAGTTTTGCATAAACATCAAAAGCACTTCCAGAATGTCTTTTTTGAGAGTGACTTTTCTGTTATATGCAATAAACAAACTTAGAGTTTTCCCAAGCATCAGATATTCTGAAACAAGGCTGGCAGTTCACTTTTAAAGATCTCAGCATGTCTATATTTTCACAAAGAAATCAATCTGGGCACCCATCACAGCCACAAAAGTCAGAGGGAAAAGTTAGGAAAGATTAAAAGGGATATCCTTGAAATGCACAGATTGCATTTTGACTTGTGTGCAATTAAA